GCCCGCCGCACCCCTCTCCCGGCCTGTTGCTGGCACTCCTACTGCTTCTAGTTTCTCATCTCTCCATCCCATCCTCTGGCTGCTGCTACATTGCAACCCTGTCCTTCCTTCAGCGGGTGCCCCCGGCCCTCTCAATGCCATCAGTGGCGCCCCACTCCATTTCCTGTAGGAAAGTTCCCCGCAGACCTTCAGTCAGCCTCTTTCCATGAACTTGTAACCATCCAGCCACAGGCCGTCCCACTCCCCGCAAGCCACCTTCTCACCTAGCCCCGCCTGAAGCCCCTACCCCTCACCAAAACCTACCGTCCTTCAAGGTCCAGCTCAAAGGCCAGCCGCTCCTTCCTCTTCCCGCCTTGGCCGACTCCTCCTGCCTTCACTAAGAGAGAACTTTTTACGCTCGGCTTTAACTAACCCAGTGAGCCTCAGGGGCCAGGACTGGGGACCCCACAGCGCCCAGGACCCAGCACAGTGGAGGGCTTAAATAAATCTCTTAAAATCTCTTCCACACCAGGTCCTGCTACACGATTTGGGAACCAGCACTGTCTCCTCCCGTATCACGGGCCGACCTCCCCCAGGAGGTTAAGTAAAATAAAAGTAACTGCTATTTTGACAGTACTCTACAGTTTGCAAAGCCTTTTCCTGTATGCTCTAGCACCTTGCTGAACCCTCACAACCTCTGAGGGAGTATCTGTAGTCTCACTTCAACAACGAGAAAGGCGAACAAGGAGGGACATCTTGCCCAAGGCTCAGGGAGGCAGCGGTGGCGACCTGAGACTCTGGGTTTTCTGATGTCCAAGCTTGTCCAGGCCAACGGTTTGGTTAGAAAAGTTCTAGGCTGGGCCCCCACCTGACCCAGGATAAAGAACAGGTGAGTGGGGACGGGGCTCTGCTTTTGTTCTAAGCCCTCGTGGGGGGTAGGCAAGGCCTACTCTGGAAACCGAGGGCTAATAAAGAGATGGGCAGCAACCCTGAGGGAAGGCCCCTGACGGGAGGGATAGGCAACCAGAAAGAGCAGAGCTGGCCTCCGCAGAATCCAGACACCTGCCTGAATTGGTTGACAACGGGGCATCTGTGGCTCAGGTGACTGGTGAAGTGGGGCGCAGAGGGTTCTTGTCTAGGTTTAAGGCAACACTCCCAAGCCCCCACTCTGCAGTGTCCCTGCTGTGGGCATGGGAAGGGACCAGGAACACCTGTGGCCCCTGACAAGGCTGGACAGGGAGATGTTCCTGCATCAGGGTGGCCCTGGGAGGTTCCCTTGGCAACAGCCAGCCAGTCCAGCCTCTGTCCTCGGGCCAGTGGAGGGGGCTGGGAGCAGCTTTCAACAGGAACACGTCTCTGGTCCTGGTGGAGCTGATGGGGGTGGTACAGGCCACCATCCCGCCCTTGCTTCATCACCCCGGGAGGCTGGAAGTGGACAGCAGAGAGGAAAGGCTAGGGACTGGGAGGACCCGGGAAGACAGCGAGAGGCTGGGGAGATCCTGGAGGAGGTCACAGGGCCAGACGGGACATGGGTGATAGAAAGCTGAGCTGGGGGCAGTGGGGGTGAGGGGGGCTGGAGGAGCCTGGGAAATGAGGGGCAGGGTGGGAGGGAGAAACGGCAGTTTGAAGGGTGAGCTGAGAAATGGGTTTTGGGGACTAGCCAAAGGAAGTAGAATTTTTCCATTTGGGAGGGAAGGCCCAAGAAGGCCACCCCACTCCAGTGATTTTCCCAAGGCACCCTGAGCTCTGAGGCTGGCAGGCCCTTCCGGGGGAGCTGGGAGCCCTCCCAGAGGAAACTAGCTTGGGCTAGAAGAGCCCAGACAGACAGGAGGCCAAGCAGGAATGGGTGGCAGGGTCCACTGGCTCTCCCACAGGCCCCCACCTTCCCCACCCCGCCCCCAGGCCAGAAGCAGAGCCTGAGCCCTGGGAAGAGGCGGCCAGCAGTGCTGTTCCCCCAGCTCCAGCCCCCTTGGTGCCTCATCTCCACAGGCTGGCCGGATGGCGTGGGGAGCAGCCTGTGATCTGGAACCCAGGATCCTCCCTCTTCACCGCAATGCCGTGGGTGCACAGTGTGGGGGTAGGGATGGGAGAGGGGCCTCATAACCTACAATGGGCGTGAGGACCACCTCCCAACTGCACCCAATGTCCCTGGAACCCTGGTCCTCCTCAACACCCCCTCAGGTTCGTGGTTTTTTCTCCAATTCAGCGGTGTCAGAAACCTCCAGCTCAGCATATCCACTTCCTAAGGAAGAGAACAGGGGCCTGGGGGAACCTCTCAACCTCCCCGAGAGTTCGTTATGCAAACGAAGAAAGTGAGCCCTAGAAATGAAACTGAGAAGGCCCAAGCAGCCACAATGAGAGTCAGCACCCTCTGGGAAGCCAGGAGTCCCCTCCCCAAGCCCAAACCTACACGCACATACACACACAAGCTCCAGAACACTAACCTCTGCCTACCTTCTAGCCTGCAACCTTCTCCCAGCCACCCAGGTTTACCACACAGCTGCAGGCAGCAAGAATTCTCAGCACCTGTGGTAGGTGAGGGGAATCCCTGGGTGGTGCAAACAGTTAATGCACTCAGCTGCTAACTGAAAGGTTGGAGGTTCAAATCCACCCATGGGCGCCTCGGAAGAAAGACCTGGCAATCTACCTCTGAAAAATCAGCCATTGAAAACCCTGTGGAGCACAGTTCTACTCTGACACATATGGAGTCACCATGGGTTGGAATCAACTCAACAGCAACTGGTTTAGTTTGGTTTTTGGTTGGAGGGCAAGGTAATGTGAACAGGATAAAGCTAGGCCAACCTGTACTTCCTCTTCCTGACCCCTCCCCTCCAGGAATAGAGGACTCCTTCCTACAACCCCCTATGATGCTCCAGCCCCTATCACTGACCCTGTGCCCGAGAGGGAATTCTTCCTTAGGTCTAACTAGAGTCCCTCTTGCTGCAGACAGCAGGTCATATCCCTCTCCACTGGACTATAAACTCCTTGAGGAGCGTCTGCATTCCCAGAGCCTCACTGTTTGAGAGACACAATAGACTTTGCGGCTGAGTGGTCCTTGTTCTACCCCTAGCCCTGCCACCACCCCCACGATGGAATGAAATGAGCTAACGTGGTGATACATAAGCATTTTCTAAATAATACAGAAATCCATCACAGCTCCTTCTGGGACTGCAGTCCCTCCCCTCCTGAAGGGACAGCGCTGCTCTGCCCTGGCCTGAGCAGTCAGGCAATGTCATTCTGCCCCCTGCACTGACTGGGGGATTTCCAGGGTAGTCCAAAAGCCCAGTGTGCTGCCTACAAGACTGAGGTGAGATCTCAGGAAGGACTTCCTAAAGAGAAGCCAAAGAGGAGTCTGAGTCTTCTCAGGAGAGCCAACAGGCCCGGGATCAGTGAGGTGGGGTCTGAGATCAGTAGTAGGTAGTGGGGGCAGGGAGGTCTGGAGACAATGTGGAGCCAGGGTGCCACCTAGTGGCTCCCTCACCTCCAAAGCAGAGAAGGCTTGGAGCCGGGGGAGGGGAGTCCTCTCCCGCTTCCACTACCTGCTCTAATGCAGGCAGGTAAATAACCTGAGAGCCAAATACGAGACAGGCATTTTGCTTCATTGGTTTATTTCATCTCTCCCCCAGCCCTTCAATCCCCTTTTTGGAGCATTAAGAAACCTAAGGCTTCCATAGATTAATTTGCCCGAGATCACACAGCCTGGATTTGAGACCAAGACGCAAGACTCCAAAGCCCTCGCTGCTCACCTTTCTGCATCTCTCAGGAGTGCAGCCAGAGCAGCTGTGAGCAGAATGGGGACGTTCTGGCCCAGTGGGCCTGGGGTTTGTTGGCAGTGCAGGGTGAGGGAAAAGGGAGCAAGTGGAAGAAGGGGGCAAGTACCAGTGCCAAGGATGGCGGCGGGCGTGGGCGCCCTGTGCTCAGAACTACCCCCAGTGACAGAGCCCCACCCAGTGTCCCGGCTCCAAGCACTTTATTGGGATCTGAGCCTACAGTTCACCCGAGGAGGTGAGGCCATGCGAGAAGCTGGGGCAAAAGGAGGCTTCACCACCCAGGGGACGGTTGCTCCCAAAGCTAACGACACCCCAGGGAAAGCCCTCCATGTAAGGCCTCCAGCCAGCAACTCTGGTCAAATCCCAGTGGGCACTGGGCCAACGTCTGGGGTGAAGGGGCCCACCTGGGGTCATCACACACAAAACAGGGTGAAAGTTCCTTGCCTTCACAATCAAAATGTCACCCCCTCTCTCCCACCCCTCCCCCATCAAAAAAAAACAAAAAAACAAAAAACAGGCTCTTTTCTCATTCCCCCACTTCACAGTGGCACACGTTCAGGCTCCAAGGATCCTGGCCTAGGGCCCTGAGCATTTGCATAGATTTGCATAGATTTGCATAGACAGCATGGCGGGTCCAGCTAAGGCCTTTTTCTAGCAGAAGTGGCATCAGCGTAGGTGTGGGTGATTTCACCCTCCTCTGCTTGGTTGATCCCCCACCAAGGACACCAGGCAAGCGAGGGGAGGTGCTACTTTAACAGTCTGAGCCCCAGCCCCGTGGGCTGGGTAACGAAGAGCACAGGCTGGGCCCAGGCTGAGGTGATTCCCCTGATGGGGCAGGGCCTCAGCCCCTGTGGCGGTGGCTGTGGTGGTGGCTGTGTTCTTCCCTGGGCCCCAAGACTCTGGGGCTCCGGAAGGGCTTGTCCTTCTTCCCCGACCTGTGGGGGGACATGGGGTGAGGGCAGGAAGAAGCCTTAAGAGTACAATACCATGTAATGAGCTGGGGCTCCCTGAAGAGAGGGACGCTGCTCCTTCTAATGAAGCCAACACATTGCAGCCACCGCCAAGCACGCAGGGCTGCACACCTGGTCTCCCAGGATGAAGGCACAGGGCGGGCGGCGGGAAGGCAGGGAGCCGTCTGCTTACCCCTGGGTATATGCAGATACAGGAGGGCAGGAAAATTCCCCAACCCAGAAGGGGAACCCCAAGATCACTCTAGGGTGAGGCCAGACAGCCTCGTGCTCTCAGGAGAAGACAGGAAGCTCATCTGGATGCCTTCTCTAAGGGAAGCTGCTGGGGACTAAAAGATAAGACCTCAAGACAAAGCCCTCCCCCTCCAGGGCCCTTGCGCCTTTACATCCGCCCGCTGCCCCCATCCTCCATCTCCCCCCACCGTCCCACCAGACCAAACTCCCCCGCAGCTCCCCACCTCTTTTTCAGTGCTTTGTCTCCAAAAAAGTGACTAAAGATGAAGTCCTCAAAGTCATCCACCTCGTCGTCATCACCTGTCTGCCTCACAGCCACCTCCTCCAGGCTGTCCTCCAAGGCATCCACAAAATCCCGGAAGCGGAGGCGGTCATGGCGGAAGACACCATCCTCACCAAAATAAGCAGGTGAGAGAGGCAGCTCCTTGGTCAGCTGCCCAGCCCAGGGCAGCCGCGCCAGGTACGTCCTCAGCAGAGAGGCCAGCTCCTGCTGCCGCACTGGAGCTAGCTCCATGCCGAAGAAGGCCAGGCCCTCCTGCCGCGCACACTCATCCACACCCGAGCAACCCTGGGGTGCCTGGTACTTCTGCCTCAAAAGCTCTCCCCAGGGTGGGAGGGGGTTGTGCCTGTCTTTCGCCCCTTCCTTCCACCGAGGATGCTTCTGCTTTTCTCCAGGGGAGTGAGGGCTCCCATTCTTCCTTGGGGGCTCCCTGGGGCCTTGTGGCTTGCCATCCTTGTCCTCCCACTCTTGAACCCTCAGCTTCCCCTCTTTCCTCTTCCTTGTCTGTTCCCGGTCCTTCTCGCTCTCCCAGCTCTTCCTTTCCCCGCCTGATCCCTCCTTCTTATGCTTCCAATGTTCAGCCTTCCGGTTCCCCTGCCCACCCCACCACTTTTCCTTGCCACTTCGCTCCCTGGAACTCTGGAAGTGGAGTTCCTGACCCCAAGCCCCTGAGGCATTGGCAGGGGTCCCAGGATCCTGGCCCCAGCTCTCTAGGTCCTGCAGCTTCTGGGCCAGTCTATGGCTCAGCTTGGCCAGGCCAGAATGGGCTGGGTCCCCTTGGCCGGCCTCCCGCAAGCTCTGCTCCAGGTCCTGCTGCACAGACCCCAGAAGCCGTCGCTGCCTCTCCAACTCTTGCCTTAGTCCCTGGGCCTCAGCCTCCAGCTGCTCCTTCTGCTCCAGGAAGCCAGAGCCTGGCTCCTGCTCCCTGGGGCCTTGCCCCTCAGTGGCCTTGTCACCCTGCAAGCCACTGCCCCAGGTAAGGCACACCCCGTCTGGGCCCCAGACTATACAGTCGGCCTTCATCCCCTGCAGCCGGGTCCGCAGCTGCTGCAGCTCTGACTCCAGGGCCTGCTGGGAAGCCTCGCCCTGCTGCAGGGCCCCCCGGAGCCGGGCATTCTCCTCCTCCAGCCTTTTGGGCTGGAGCATCAGGCTCTGGAGCTCTTCCTTCTGGGCCTGAATGGAGCAGGGATGGGGGTTGGGCACAATCTTGTCAGGATGGGCCCAGTGCCCTTGACCCCAATCCCATTCTCTCATGGTGGGCATGAGGCTCAAGACCCTTTTATGGCCTGAGACACTCAGAGGGTTTAGTTCTCATCCTATTCCTCATCCCACCCTGTACCAGACCGGAGGATACCCAGATTCCATCCTGGGCCTTGGCATCTCTGTCCTTATCTAAGCACACATTTTAGAGTCAGCTAAGGATAGCCAGTATGTGACTCTCGCGGCCCCGTTCCCACCTCCCATGCCCGGACAGACATTGTCAACTGAGCACAGCACTGCTCTCCCACTGAGCCTTAGCATGTTCTTCAACTCCTTCCACACAACGCTCCAGGCAGACCAATCACTTAGAGGTGGCATGCCAGCCCTGGCCTAAACCTTAGCACAAGGGATATGAACAGGGAATTAGAAAGATGCTCTGACTATAGTGGGAAAAGCAGAGGGTCAAGGTGTGGGCGGTGGGGGCACAGGGGACACTCTTGTGGGAAGACACTAGGACAGAAACCTCGCCCAGGGAAGGCTGGCCCAGCCCACCCCCTCCCACTGGTGCCCACCTGCAGCTGGGCCTGCAGCAGCCTGATGTCCTGGTTCTCCTTGGCCAGCTTGTCCAACAGAAGGGCCATGTTCTGCAGGCTGGGGACACTGCCAAGGGGCGCCGAGGCCTGCAGCTCCCTTAGCCCATCCTGAGGGTATAGAAGCCAGTTGCACCGCCCGTTCCCCTCCACTAGGCCTCACGCACCTATGGAGATACTCACACATACCTGCCCATCTCCCACAGCATCCTGCAACTCAGTATCCGACCCAGTACCCGGGATGACCTGCAGCTCCACTTCCTCCAAAGGCCCTATGGGAAAAAGAGGTCCTGACACTGGCTCAGTGGGTGAGCAGTGCTGTGCTCAATTAATAATGTCTGTCTGGGCATGGGAGATGAGAACAGAGCTGGGAGAGTCACATACTGGCTATTGTTAGCTGAATCCAAAAAGTGTGTGCTTAGATAAGGAGAAGCTGAGGCCAAGAATGGAATTGGGGGTCTGTTGCAAGGTGAGGATGGGGAATAGGACAAGAACCAAATCCCCTGAGTGTCTCAGGCTATAAAAGGGGCCCAAAGAGTCTACTCTCTCCCTAAACACACACACACACACCCACACATTCACCCCTTCCACCAACTCCATGGCTGAGAAATCCAGTGAGGTAAAGGACCAAGGATTACCCTGCACAGCTGAAAAGGCCAATAACTGAGCAATAAGTGTGCAACCCCCAGCGGCAGACAACCCCACCCACCATCGCTGCCCCTTGGGGGTGGGAGAGGACAGACATGCCACAAGCCAGGCCCCTGCGCACTCACCACTCTCCGATTCTGAGACGCCACCTGAGGATAAAGTCAGAAGAGTCCAATAAGGCCCAAAGGGGAGAGGGTGGAAAGGGGCAGGGGAGACTGTGGTAAGAAGCAGGAGGGCAGCAGGGGCCAGAGAAGAGGCCCAAGGCCCCAGCAGGGAGGCACTACTCACCAGAGAAGAGGAGGATCCCGAGGCCCAGAAGAACCAGAGCTCCAAGAAGGCACATGTTGAGGGAGATGCCCAGCTCCCCAACCACACCCTCGCTCCCTGCCTGGTCCTCCACACCCAGAGATGCCGAGGGCTGAGGTGGGCTGGGGCCCCGGCCCCACCGTCTCCGCAGGCCCTCCATGCCCATGTCGGTGTCGTCCTCACTGCTGGAGCAGCGGAGCTCCTCCCTGATCCAAGCTGGAGGGAAGGATGGGGACAGAGCAGTGACGCAATTGGAGGGACAGGACTTAAAGAGAGAGGGGGAAGTGGAAGGCACAGCGAAGCCCCCGCCCTGACTGCAGAGAGGGGAACAGGAAGACCCTGCCCACTTTTGCCTTGAAGACTGCTCCTGCCCAGTCTGCAGAAGGCAAGAGACCAGTCCTTCCAATCTACAAACTACATCATCCTAAAGCATCCTCTTTCTTCCAACATCGGCCTCCCCATCAAGCTCCTGCAGCCATTCGCAACCTCCTGGTTCCCCTCCTAACTCTGGCCACTCCTTCTCAGCCTCCCTCCCTGGCTCTTCCCTAAGGGCGGTGGTCTTCCTGGCACCATTTCTGGTTCTCTGTTCTTCTCCCCATACCCACAGACACCAACTATCTCTCTCACCCACATCCCTGCCTTTCCCTATGGCCGATGAGTCCTTGATCTGTAACTCCTGAACTGGCCTCCTTTGAGTTCCAGAACTATATGTCTACCTACCTACAGGCCACTTCCATCTGGATGTCCCTCAGGGACCAAACACTCAACACTGCCCTCCAAATTGGTTGTTTTCTGGTGTTCCCCAGTTCAGGGAAAGGCACACTGATACCATCTACCCAACCTCAACCCCTGCCTCTTCACCCCACACCTAGACAATAAGTCTTGACAATTCCACACTTGAACATCTCACAAATTCACTCCTCTTCTCAACGCCCCACTGCAACCACCTTAGTTCAGTCTTCCATCTCCCTTGGCCCAAGCATTGCGGTTGTCTCCTACATGGCCCCCAACCCCCAGCTTCTCTCTCCACACTGTCACTCTTCAGTGGAGATGGATTCGTGCCACTCCTCTGCCACAGACCTTGGACACAACTTCCTTAGCATGGGACATGAAACGCTACACAACCTGGCCCCAACTGCTCTTTCCAACCCCTTCTCCTTCCTCCCCTCCTGCAGACCCACTCTCCTGAGGTGGACCACCCTGGACAGTGGCCCACACACCTTAGCTAATGCTGTAGCCTTGGTCTGGAATGTTCTCTTTTTCCTGCCCCTACCTACCAAAAGCCTACTCTTTGCTCAAGGCTCTGCTCAAATATCACCTCCAATGTGAACATTTCCCCAACTGTCCCTTTCTCTTCCTTCCCCTCAACCTGTCCCCTGACAAAACATCCCTCCCCTTCCTTTGGGTGCACCTTAATTACACCTCCTTCTGCACAACTCATAGGTCTGGCTTGCATCTTGGCTCACTCAGTCTTGATGTGTCCCCTACACAGGCCATGAACCACCCACCTTGCCTTGCCTGGGCCCAAAGCTGACATGGAAGGGACTCAGGGTATGAGGACTGAATTATAGAGATGAGAGGAGGAGGAGAAAGAGGGAGACAGAGACAGAGAGAGAAGGCCCCATGGCAGAGAAGAAAGAGTCAACCAGACCTGCTTTGGGGGCTGAGGGCGAGCTCTGTGGGGGACTTTGATCTTCCAGGCCCTGCGTGTCCAGTCCCAGGCTTTCCACCAGAGGGGTCTCCTGCAAGTCGCTCTGGGCTACTGCGTCTCCCGGGTCGGGGGGCACCACATCACAACCATCACCTTCCAGGGCGCCCTGATGCAGATGCAGCTGTGAGCAGCTCCGGGCCCTCCCCCACTCCCCTCCCCCTCCCCCCAGTGAAGGTCTTCACCTCGGCCTCAGTCTCCTCTGGAGGAATGGGCCCAGACTGGGAGCCTTCACTCTTGAAGACGGTCTCTGTGGTGGGGAGAAAAGGCTCAGCAAAAACACTAACCACCCTGCCCCCAGCTGAACTCCCTCCACGGCTCCTGGCTCTGTGGCGGATGCCCCGGCTCTGTGGCTCCCGCAGCCCCCTGCCAGGATGGAAGGGGCAGGAAAAACCCTGCAAAACTGGATGGAACGAGGGAAGGTCTTTGTAAACCGAGATTAATGGGGAAAAGAAGACTAACCAGCCCCCCTTTCTCAAGGAAACTGAGAAACCCCAGAACATGGAGAAGAGGCAGCTATACCCCTACACTCAGCAGGGCCCCATCACCTTCTCCATCCAACGTCCCAGCCAATTCTTCACCATCTGCCTTGGAGAGGCTTGGAGGGGTCTGGGGGGCCATGTCAGATTCTGGGTCCATCGTGGATTCTGGGCCCAGGGTCTCCACAGGCAGGCTCTGAGGGGAGGGATGTGAGCAGGAGGGCTGCTCCAGAGAAAGAACAGTGGGACAAAATCAGAAGCACGGGGTGCTCTGCTGGGGTTCCTGGGGCTGGCCACACTACTCCGGGACCCCAACCCATATCTCACAAAGATACACTGGGTAGTGAGCCGAGCTGAAGGGGGCAGGGCAGCAAGCTGGCATCTCAGCTCAGATGTAAAGCCTTCAGCCACCCCCTCATCTCACTCACTGCTGTGAGAAGCTTCCAGAGACCGGGCTTCTCTTACACGAAGAAGCACCTCTGGACCAAGGAGGTGAGTCAGTCAGCTTAGCCACAAATGTACAAACCTGGCATCCCCTGAGGGAGGCCAGCTAAAGCCTGGGTTCCCCTGCCCGAGCTCATCACTACTTCCTTTCCCTACAAATGAACAAGCTGGTTATTGGCTGGGGGCAGGGAATGGCAAGAGAACAGCATCCCTTAGGCACCCAAGGGTCACAGCTCTGTTCCCCAGGGGCTTCCCTGCAGCTTCCCATATAACTGGCCACCCACCTACATCTTCCATGTTTTTCTGGCCTTTCCTACTGGCCCCTGACACTTCCCTGCCCACCCCTCTTCCAGCAGGTGGTCACAGAAACCCAGCTCACCCCAGCCACAGTGAGGCCAACCCTGGCTCCACGGTGCTCTCGGCCTGGCCATCGGGCCCTGGCCATGCAGCCTAGGCCCCTCCTCCCCCTACATACTCCTTCTTGGCAGACCCGCCACCCGCCTACCCCATCCATGGCTCCCACTATCCCGCCAAGAATAATTCTTGACCTTAAGATGTTTCTTTCTAATTTTCAAAACACTCTGACAAGTATGGTCTCGTTACATCCTCACAGCCACCTGTACAAGGCAAGAATCATGACCCCCATTTTACAGGTGAGGATAGAGAGGTGAAATGGCTTACTCAGGGTCCCCCAGCTGTCAGCAAAGGCACCCCGATAGGCCAGGGCTCTGACTAAGAGTGTGGTGCCCCTCCTTCTCCACCCCTGCGTCCTCCTCTGCCAGCAAGACCCAATCCATGTGTCTGGCTCCAGCATGATCCCTGAGGTCCCTCACTCGCAGCTCAGTTCCTCAAAGGCACCTCAAACTCAACATGTCCACACTGAGCTTCGCCTTCTCCCCCCCTGCTTATTCCAATATACCAGGTCACTAGGACTTGGAACTCCCAGAGATCCCTTGAACAAGTTTTCTCCATCCCCTCTCCAGCCAGTCTCCCTTCTCAGTGGCTTCAGGAAGCACAGGTGTCCACTAACTCTGACCTGGAGCCCTATAGGATCCCTCAAAACATTCTCCCTGTTCCTACCTAGCTGATATGGTGGCTTCAACCTCTTCCCAATGATTGTCCTGACACCCTCCGGCTCAAGGCCCTTCAAGGGTTTCCCATGAGGATGAGGCCCAGATGCCTCCACCAGGCCCTTCAGTCTCTTCCAGGGGCGCTAGGCTCTGCCCCCAACCTCACTCCAACACTGGCTCTGACACATGTCCCCATCTCCTTCTGTGGCCTCCTCACAGTGTCCCCAGTGTGGGCTTTCCCACTGTTGCCCTAGGGCCGTAGCTCATGCTGGTCTCCCCACCAGAATTCCCTCCCCACTTCTCTCAGCTTACCCAAGTGGTACCCTTCCTTCAAGGCATGGTCCAAGTCCTAACACCTTCCCCCATGAGGTCTTCTCCAATAGCCCCAGCTCGCCTGACGCCTGGGGCTTGATCTCCTCCTCTCTGCCTCTGGAGTTCCTCCCATAGCCAGGAGGAGGTGATGCAGGTGACCATCAGGACCAAGGAAGGGGAAAGACCCAGAAAGCATCCCAGCCCTGCAGGAACCCCCCTTCCATGTGGTTCCCAGGCCCACTCTTCCTACCTCTGAGCCAGCGAGTACCCAACTTTTATCCGAGTCCGGACAGGAGGCCATAGCTGCGGAGGCCCCAGGCTTTGGTGGCTGCCACCTGCAGAGAAAAGCTCTTTTAAGGATCCCAGCTCCCTTCAGAAGAGGCAGAATGCAGAAAGCGGCCTAAGCTGGGTTCCAAAGTTCAAGGGCTGGGCAGCAGCCTCCAGAACGCAGCCTGGTTTTAGTGCTTCAGATCCTAACACCTCAACTCTTCTGGACAGTATGTGCCTTGCAAATCAATCCCTGCAAACAGCCATAGACAAGGCTGACTCTTCCAGGGACCAGCAGGGCCTTGGGAAATTGAACTGACCTTGAAAGGTCAAAGACGCATAGGTTTGCAAAGGCTTTGGGGAATACAGTCCAACCGCCACGTTATAAGCAGGGAAAATGAAGCCCAGAAAAGCTGACTGACTTGATTTGCCAAAGATCAACAGCTAATAAAAAGAGCCAGGAAAGCAATGCTACACCAGGCCCCTCCACAATCACTAACTCCCTCAGAGCCTGGAAGAGAAAACTCTAAGGCCTCCTTCAGCTCTAAGTCTCCCACCAGCCGCCCACCATAAATGCTTTGCATGGTCTAGTTCAAGGGTTCTCAACACTGGCCGCCACCTAAGATTCCGATTCAGTTGGTTGGGGTTGGGCCCAGGCATGGGCTTTTCTTAAAATCTCTCTAAATGATTCTCCTGTGCATCCGGGATTGAGAACCACTGCTGTAGCCTACATCCATCTGGATGCACCTTTAGTAAAGCTCCTTATTCCTCTCACTCTTCATCCAAAATTGTCTTTCCGTTCTTAGTAATCTCCAGAGTTTCATCTTAGAGGACTTGAGGGTAACTGCGAAAAGGGATGTAAGACAACCATCATGTATAAAGCACTTTACAGTTTGTAAAGCATGGATCCCAGCTGTGATCCAGCCCCCTACTAATCTGCTTTGACTTGGCGGGGAAGGGGTAGGGAGTCACTCCAGCTTCCAGAGCCTAACACAAAGCAAGCCAAGGAGAAAGGGACCCATTCCGTCATCCAAGGCCAAGACTGTCCCCTCAGGCTGGGGCAGCTGCAACTGGGGCCTGACGTGAAGGTGGAGGGGTAGGTGAGAGTCCTGGGTTGTGATCTTTCAGAGAAGGCTAAATGACTCCTGACTGAGAACTGGAAGGGCAGTTAAGTAGAAGACAACTCTTTAAGGAAATTGTATGGAAGCCGAGTGAGGATGGCGAAGTATGGCAGTTCCACCTTTGAAAACAACCACACCGCCCCCTTCTGTTTGAGCTGTCTTAAGTCCTGCATGTTGTTGGTTGGTAGGTGCCATCGAGTCAGTTACAACTCATAGTGACCCCATGTACAACAGAACGAAACACTGCCCAGTCCTGTCCCATCCTCACAATTGTTGTTATGCTTGAAACCATTGTTGTAGCCACGGTGTCCATCCATCTCTCTCGTTGAGGGTCTTCCTTTTTCGCTGACCCTCCACTCCACCAAGCATGATGTCCTTCTCCAGTGGCCCTTGCCAGTCAAGATCTAGGCCCAGGACAGGCGAAAAACACCTCACAGAATCTTCCTCAATGTTCACGCCTTCCATCCCACATGGAGACAGGAGAATAGCTGCAATGACATCCCCATGCCAAGTCCAGCAGGATACCCTGGCAGGCTTCTACAGGCATCCATAGAACCATCGCTGCTCTGCCTTCCGCTGTCAGGCCCCACCCCCGCTGTTGTCATCATCTCCCCATCCCCAGTTGCTGCGTGTGACTGTTAACAGGTGGTGGCAGGAAGGAAGTGGCAGCAGCTCGGGCTGAAGTCCTTGTTTATCCCTGGCTGTGTAGAGCCTGCTCAGGTCCTCCGGAATGAGGCACCATGACAACCAGGATGATGTCAGACCCACTGTCTCTATGGAAACCAGCCACCGTATTTGGGTCAACAACACAAACACTTCCGAGAGCCGAACAGGAGACAGTATGGAACCCCTGTTCACAGGGTCCGAAACCCTGATACCTCTTTGTTCGAATCACCCAGGATTCCAAAAGTACCCCTGTTCTTGGAAGCCAGCATCTCACTGCCTTATTAGGAAGCTCCTTCTGCTGTCTGATCTCCACACTTCCCTGTTGTGTTTTCAGATCTTTTTCTTCTCATTGACCTCTAAGAAGAAAACTCACCTCTACCCGCTCCCCACCCCCTCTCCCTTTTTATTCATCATCCGCCCCCAGGCAGGATTCAACCAAATCATCCTGTAAGGAATGTCAAGGAACCCTGGTGGTGCAATGGTTAAGCACTTGGCTGCTAACTGAAAGGTTAACAGTTCAAGCCCACCAGCTCCTCCATGAAAGAAAGATGTGACAGTCAGCTTCTGTAAAGATTTACAGCCTTGGAAACCGTATAGGGCGATTCTACTCTGTCCTACAGGGTCGCTATGAGTCAGAATCGACTCGAAGGCAGTGGGTTTGGTTATTTGGTGTCTGGAAGGACTGTCAGACTTCTGCTATTTCTAAAATACAGCTAAAGGGGGAGCTCTCCCACTCTGTACGAAGCTAGGAAGTCTCACCTCTGGCTAATTTCAGGCCCTCTAACAGTTGTTCACCCCAACTCCGAAAAGCAAAGGACCCAGGGGCACAAGAATTTGCCAGGGGGACCCAGAGCAAGTTCCTGTTTTGGAAACGTCCGCCAAGGGCCCTCCTTCGCCAGCCCAGAAAAGACAAACAGATCTGTGGATCCCAAGTAAAGCCCATCCCCTCGAGAGTTCTGCCCTCCCTTTCCTTTATTCTCCCTCGCAGGCGACCCGTGGTCCCCTTCCCGGCTGGGGAATTACCTGACCCAGCTTCAGTCTTCCGCTGAACTTGCTGCTGCCTCCCCTGGTTTCCAGCCCAAGAAAGGAGGAGAGTCATGTGACCAGTGGCTGACCAATGGCAAATAAGCTTCCCCCAGGGGGCGGAAACTTTTGGCCAATCAGCGCTGGCATTGAGACCCAGAAGAGGGGAGGGGGGACCTGCAGAGCCCGTAAACCTGTGCTTCCCTCCCGGTGAGAGACTGGGGTCCCTGAAAACTGAATTCTGGGCGACCTCCTCTCCTTTCCTAGTGCCTAAACAGTTTCTAGAGGGAAGACCCAAAATCGAAAGGCAAAGGTGATGTCTTCCGAGACAACAAGCTCACGGGGCCAGCTTGGCCCAGAAGGGACGGCGACAGCTGCAAGCCGGGGGAGGGAAGAGGGGCGGGTGGCGAACTGTGGACCTGGAAATAGCCCTCTTGCCACTCTCCCCACCTCGATCCAGTGCAAACTGTTTAAGGATGCCACTGCTGTTTAAAAAAAAAGACGGGGGGTCCGAAGAACCTCCAAAAATAAAATGTTAGAGCAAGAGCAGCTTCTCCCCCCACCCCAGGCGCTACACTTGACTCTGACAACTGCGGAAAGGAGCGGCAGTAAACCCAGAAGAGCTTCCAGCACTTGTCTCCCAGAGGTCTTGGAGCCAAAGCTCCTTCCAGGCTCCAGGCCTGGCCCAGGAATGTGCTCAAAAAAGAAACTCAATTTCTCACAACAGGGCGGGGGGTGGGGTGGGTGCATCCCTTGGCTCAGCAGCTTGTACCACGGTCAGCTCGGGGCCTGAATCCACTGCCATTCCCACTTCCAGGGAACCCCTCTAAGTTACCCATCTCAGTGGTGACACTGGCTCATCTGGCCTTTTCTGCACATAAACCATAAGGAGTCCTTGTCTGGATTTTCAAGTCATTTTATTAATCCAACCGTACAAAACACTCTCCCACCATATCTCTGCCACCCCACTTTCTTCCAAGTAGTGGAGGGAGACGGAGCAGAGGAAGACACCCCCCCCAACCTACCCCACTTTACAAAAAGGTGGGGGGGGGGACAACACAAAAATAGCAACAGATAAAGGGGCAAAGAGAAACACAATCACAGCACAGAGCTGAGCGGTGGGGAGCTGTCATCTGCTGTTTTCCTGTGAGGAAGACGGGAAGGGAGAAGTCCAGAGGCCTGCTCCCCCAGCCTCAAAGGCTGCTGGCTCCTCCAGGGCAGGAGTTCTGCAATCTGCCCTCAGTCTCCTCGCTCGGTGCTAGGGAACTGAGAGACGTGGGGGAGGGGACCACAGAGGGGCCTTCGCCACCACACCTTGTGCTTAGGTACCACTAAGTGCCCTCAAGAGGGCCACACCCCCTGCCTGCCCTTCCCCGCCCCAGCGAGGAATGCAGACAAGAGCTGAAGGAAGAGCAGCTGTGGGGGGGAGGGGAGGGGAGGGTTCCGGATCAGTCCCTGGGCCACTCTGGCAGGCAGTGCTTCAAAAGAAAATAAAAACAAGTCAAGCCCAGTGCAGGACTTTGGCAGAGAGGAGCGAGAACTGCTGGATCACCACGCCCAAGAAGACAGGGAAGAATTACAGGACGAGAGCAAAGAACATCCAGGTTCTTCTACCTTTTAGTACCATGGCACTGAGGCTCCTGCCGCTTCCCCCACCCCAGAGGCTGTGACAGGGCCTCCCTTGGATGCTATTATCAGGGGAGGACATGAGGTATAAGGGCTCTGCCCCTTTTCCAGCCTTCCTTCAGTTAAGCTGGGGAGGCAGGGGCACAGGGCGCCAAACGGTGAAGAAAGGCGCTGAAGATAATGTGCAAGAACAGATGGACAAGGCAGGGAGGGTAGGACGCCCACAGAGTCCAGACTTCCACGACAGTCCAAACTCCAAATAGACTGGTCTGTCAGACCACATGTCCCACTTTTTGGCAAAAACATGGTCATTAGGAGAAAAGCACGAGAGGCTGAGAACGGACCAGTGACTTTGGTATGAGGGAGACATGTCCTGACAGCATCTCTTACCTACTGTCTCGAAGCCTCAAATCACCAAGCAACTGTCATAGCCAAGAACTCGCCAGCTTCTTCGAGCTATCTGGTTCTGAGAGAAGTTGGGTAGCTCTTGGAGGCAAAAGGAAAGGTGGAAAGAGGGAAAACTCCCCATTCATGCCCTCAAGCCGTCTCACAGAGCCCATGAAAAAACTACGATACCACCACGGGGATGGGAAGAGACCCAACTCCTCTGGCCCGAAACCTTGACGCCAAAAGATAAGGCTGGAGCTGTGTGGCTAGACACGGGTGTTAGGCACAGGTGTTAGATGACAGCAATCATCTACAGAGGGGACATCCCTGCCCTCCAGATTCTCCTCCAGCCCCTTTTCTCCGGCAGCCACAGCCCTAGGCCTCCAGGGACAGCCACCCAGAAAATGGCTCTGTGCAGCAAGGCTTTGGTTTCCTGCACCTCTGGAGATCTCAACAGGCAAGTTTCCAGAAAACTGAGCAATCCAGGCCGTCTTCTGCCTGCCCACCTCGGGTCCTTTCCTGCCCCCATGGGGATGGGAAGCCACTGGAAACAAGAACCAAGAGCCAGACACGGAAACAATCACCCCAGAGGAGCAGGGAGGGACGTGTGTACTTCCCTGGGCCACCCTGCCACTGTCACCCATCATTGGCAGCCACCAGCTGCCCCATGCCCTCGCGGATGTAGACGGACTGAATCTCCTTGGTCTTGAGGCAGAGGTCGCAGGCCCAGACGGCAGAGGCCTCAGTGGTCAGCAGCCCGTAGGCGCTCTCAGTCATGCCCGTGCACTCGCGGTGGAACCACTTCTGGCAGGAGGCCTCACACAGAATGGCATCCTGGTCGTCGTTCACCTCACTCCGACAGGCACCACACGGATACACCAGGCCTGGGGGAGGCTGGGGCCCCGAGCCCCCAACTGCCTTGCCAGGGGGTGCCAGGCTGTTAGCATCTGGAGTGCCCCCACCCCGCCCGCTGCTGTTTGGGGGAAAACTGGGTTGATTCCCATTAACAGCAGCAGCTGGGGAGCCTGAGTGGGGCTCCTGGGGAAAAGCAGTCGAAGCAGGTGGATTCAAGGGCTTCCCCCCATCCTCCCCACCAGGGCCAGGAAAGCCGGGGTCTGGACCGGGGAAGGGACTTGTGTTAGGGGGCAGGCTGGGGAGCCCCTGACCAGGTCTCTGAAGAGGAGAGGGGCCAAAAGGTGCTCCTGGCTGGGCAAAGCGTTGGGGGAGAGGACCCAGCTCCCCTCTGGGAGGTTGTCCCATGGTGGGTGAGATCATGGGGCCGAATCCTCCCACTGGGCCTGTCATCATCTGCCCACTAGGAGGGCTAAAATTTTGACCAAGAGGTTGGTTGAAGGGTTGGCTGGGAAAGTTCATATTGCCTAGGGGTGGGTAGCCAGGGCCCTGGGGGGGCATGCTGAATGCAGGGCCCATAGGGTTGGGCGGGAAAGGAGGGGGCTGTCGACGAAGAGGCTGGGGACCTCCTCCACCCCCAGTGCCATAGCCTGGGGGTACCTGGCCAGCCATGCCCCCCTGTACTCGGAAGCCTCCAAAGGGTACAGGACTGCCAAGGAAAGGAGGGGCTGCAGCCCCCACCTTAGGGGCTCCAAAGTCATCCTCAAAAGGGTTGGATGCGACCAGATGATCCACCATAGGAGTCGGAGGTGGCGCAAACTCTGTCAGATGTGAGTACGCAGGGCCCTGGTGGGGAACAGATGAGGGAAAGGGTCATGGGGGGGAGATACACAGCTAAACCAGAAAAGCACTAGAAACACAATACATGTTCTGGAAGCTGGTACCGGCCAGCTCAGATCTTACACCAAAACGGACCTTAGAATGCAAGAGGAACTGAGGGTGGGGAGCAAAACCAGCAGAGTGCAGTAATTGTGTTTTGAATCCCAACTCTGATCTTGAATACCTTCAACACCCTGGAGCAGCCACTTAATTTGTAAGACTCAGGTTTCTCATTGATGAAATAGCAATAATGGTTATCTCCCAAAACTGTTAAAGCAGTTCAGCCCAATCCGTGGCACTTAGGACAAGCTCATTAAGTGGCAGCTATTCTCATCAGGGAACCAGGACAGGAAAAAAAGGATGGGAGGAGGACCTGTAACCCTGACTGATGAGATTTTTGGCCAAATCATCTCTTGCGGGAGACTATTTCTCCAGAAATTTCCTATGAGGTTGAGGAAGAGGACCAAAAATGGAGCAAGAGGGACAGCATTCCCTTTTCTATCTGATGCAAGATACAAACAGATGCTGGAGTGGCAGAACAGAGGGTCCCCACCCCCAACCACTATTCACCTGAGTATTTGACTTCCTCCGCTTCTTTTCTGGGCTCTTCATTTGCAGACCTGGAAAAGCAGCACGCATACGCAGACAAGTTTCCCTGAGGTTTCTCCAACCTGCTTTCTCTCCACCATCCCCTCATGAACACCTCTAATCGTACACTTGTTAGTTTATTTAACAAATACTGACAACGCGTGGGACATGAAAAGCGAATTGTGAGCACGACCATACTCTCGGCTACCTCTTCCCTGAAATGAGGAACAGCCATCTCTTGATACCCTCAGGCTCCAAGAAACTCCTCAATTCCATGTGCCTCCAAACCCCAGGGCCCTCGACCTGTGACACTTGCCCCCAAACCCTGGAGGCCTTCACCCACCCACTCTCTTCACCTGAGCCTTCCTTCAGGCCCCTCCGCCTAAGACCCCTCATCCTCCCCGCATCCCTGCCAGCTCCCCGCTTCAGGGTTCCCGGGTCCTCGGCCTCTCCAGCCCGCGTCCCTCTCAGCACTCTCACCGGCCTTGCCCTGCTTCCTCCCGGCGCTGGGCGGCGCAGGGGGCGGGGCGGGGCCGCCACCTCCCTCCAGCTTGTCCGGTGGGGGCGGCGCCGAGGCGGCCATGGAGTGGGGACCGGGGTTAGCGACGGCGGGGGACGGAGGCGCCCTCGGGCTGCATCATCGCCCAGAAGGGAAGTCAGGGGCAGCGCGGGCCCCCGAGCTGCAGCCAGCCCAAGTGCGCTGAGGGAGAGGCACGGGGCCAAAGCACCAACTGCGCGCTCGCTCCAGACTCACCGCCCGCCCGCAGCAGCAGCAACAGGAACCGGAACTCAGAGAGGCCACCACCACTGAGCCCGGCCCGGAGGGGGAGCGCGGACAGGGCAGGGCTACCACCTGAAAGCGCCGTGAGGGCGGAGAGCCGTACCGCTGGACGAAGCTAGCGGACAGGGCCGCTTTACCCCGGGGGAGTGGCCCGTACCACCTCATCTTTGGGCCGTGGCGTCCGCCAACCCTTGCCGCCGGACCGTACCATTGCGGACACAGGGGCCGCCGCAGGGAGCGGGCACGCGCGAGCCGCGGCGCGCGCCCGGGAGGCCCGGGCATCCTGGGGATCCGGCGTCGCGGCGCGAACAGGGCGGTGGGCCTGGAACCCCGCCCGTCCGCCCGCTGGCTGCCGGAGCCGGCCTCCCCCGCAGACACAGACGCCCGCCAGGCGCACAGGCTCCGTAAACCTCCAGTTCCCGCGGGCGGCGCGCCGACGCTGGAGCCGGCACGTGCGGCGCCAGGCGGGTCAGGCCGCGCGGCGCCCGGGGCCACCCCGACCGCCATCCCCTCCGACCCCCGCGGGCCCCCCAGCGAACAAAGGCCTGCGAGAGGGATTGAGGAAGAAGCCGAGGTAGAAGAAATACGGACTTTAATGAAGATTATTTCCCTTTGGTATAAGGTGAGACCCGTGAACACATCCAACCAAGGAGGCGAAGCGCCCCACAGTCAACTCTCCCTTATCCGCAAGGCCTACAGAGCCGCAGGGCCGGCTCCTCTGTGGCCACCGGGGCCTAGAGCAGGGTCGGGCATGTAGAAGGTTCGCGATAAATAACTGCAGGTTTTCATGTGCCCCTTCGTGAAACTGTTAATACTTATTCAGCCAAACTTCTGCCGCCCAGCCTCGGCGGTAAAAGGCCCAAGTTTCTCTAGTCCTAGATCTTAAATCCACTTTTCTCTGCCTTAGGTCTCCTGTAAAGAGATAATGCTGCCGATCCCAATTACCTCACGGGCTAGGATGAGGAACATTCAATAGTTCTAAAAGGGCTTTGAAAAGTCAAAGAGGTGATTATATAAACGTAATCGATTATAATCATTTTGTGCTCAAGAATAAACCACGTAAAACAAAATTAAGAAAGTAAATCTACAGCCCTAAAACATATGCATATAAAATAAACAATAAAAGCAGTTCCAAATCTAGAGATATTTGGGGATTGTCTACTGCTTTAGAGTCTCAGTGCCCGTTTTCCTCCTCTGCGGAATCCACCTGGGAGAGTTAACTGTACGGGAGGCCCCAATGCCGTCTCCCCCTCCTCTTCCCGCCCCCAGCAGGGGGAGGCAGGGCAGAGGCTGCTGGAGGAAGGGCTACACTTTGGCTGTAGAGTCTAACACACGTGCAACATGGGAGGGGGTGGGGCTTGTGAAATGTATATACAGCCCCCTTCTGTGAGGGGTCCCCCGGCCCCAGGAGGCACTGAGCAAGGGAGGGGTCCATCTCCCCCCTGGCCGGGAGAGGGGCGCTGGAGCAGCCTCTATAAGGGTTGCATATCCCCTGAGAGACGGGACAGCTGCCCCTCCGGCCTGTTCTCCCAGCCCAAACTGGAGGGGGTGATAAGCAAGGAAGAGGACAGGGTCCCAGCAGCCAAGAAGGTGTCAGGACCCTTGTCTTCAACCTCAAGGGCTTGAGAAGAACTCTTTGCATAAAATATCTTCAGACCTAGGAGATGGTCAAAGGCACAAAGTTTAAACACTGGGGGGAGGGAGGGCTGAGAGGGATTTGGGGGTACCCTGAGCCCAGGGGTAGACCGAAGGTGTGATTCATCCCCCCTTCCCTGGAAGGGTGACAGCTCCACTGGGTTTAATCACCACAGGACATTGTCCATTACTCGGAGGCACTCCCCAGGCCTCAAGTACCCACCTTCTCAGGGAAGGGAGTATCAGGTTGGCACAGGCAAGGCCCAGGGAAGGGGGCCACTCTGTACATTAATACTTTGGTGAGGTTTGGGGAGAAGCAGGATTCTACCCCCGTCTCCTGACTCAAAGCCTCTCAGCCAGATGATGAGCCCAGCGTCCACACGACCACCAGCTCCTACACAAGACCAAGCCCACAGAACGAGAGGTCCTGAGAGTCAGAGAATAGGGTGGAAAGGCTGGAGGGCATCTTCTGGGAGACGGCATTTGGATGGATCACAGTTTCCGCTCCACAGGCTGCTGGAGACACAGTTCGCTGCCCGCAGAGATGATGGGCAAGTGATTGTCCATGTGGTAGCTGATGAGATGGCTCACACTCTCAAAGCGGTGATCCTTGGTCCGAACCTAGAAGGGGAGGGAGAGGGCGTGTTCAGGTGAAGAGTCAAATAAGACCTCAGCCCCCAAGTCGAAGCAGCTGGAATATCCAAGAGGGTTGAGGAAGGAGGAGAAGATAGCAGGGGGGTGGGGAAGGTCAGTCGCGATCACTGAGGCTTCTCTAGAAAGAGAAGCTAGAGATGGCTGGGAATGGGCAGGGCAGTGAACTGGGAAAAGGCAGAGGGGACATCCGCTCAGGAGTCACGGCGCTGAGGGATATCTAGCCCTTCCTTGCCCTGGAAGAAGCTGGCATGTCTTTGAGGAGGATACACAGTGCAAAAAAGATGTGGAAAGGAAGCTGATTACTGCAGCAAAAAGAACAAAGTTGTGAGGGGCAGCAGGCCAGTGCAGACAGGAAAGAAGGGGACTTTTCTGAGCCTTGAGTCCAGGAGAGTTAGGGGGCCTCTTGCAAGAGACTTGGGGTCTAGCCTCTAACCGTCGGCCCCTGGGCATCACAGCCTCTCCGGGGTGGTTTTCCCATTTATCAAAAGACGGCTCTCGAGAGAGAGACACCAGCAGTAGAGCCTCTTCTGGCTCTGATGGGCTTAACATTCAGGGTGGAGGGAGCAGAGCTCAGGCTCAGGGACATCAGAAGGGAAGGAACCTGCCCCAGCTGCTGGAGAGGGGACACCAGGCTTTTTGAAGACGAGGAGAGGCTCATACAGAGACGCCCAGCAGGGAAAGCTAGGCAGCAATGACTGAAGGGCAGAAGTGCACCGCAGGGTACTGGACCCTCCCTTCTATACCTCACGGCCCACCACACCCCCTCCACCACACTCACCACCCCCTCAGGGTCCACCAGGAGCAGGTGCTTGGGCTGACCGCTCTGCAGGCCGGTGAGCACATACTGGCCGGGCGTGGTTGTGCTCTCCCGCACCAGGAAGTCCCCGTTGAGCTGCAGCAGCGCCTCAGCCTCCCGCCGGCTCAGCTTCCCGTGGAACCAGGGCTCCTCTCGGAGCTGCTCAGCCATAGACACCAACTGGGGAGGCGGAGGCACCCGAAGGGCGTCTTCAAAGGGCTCTGAGGGTGTAGAGAAAGGGCTGGGGGAGCCAGCAGCGGGCACGACACACGCCCAGGACCCAGACCTCAGGGGAGGGGAGGCCAGGAAGGAAAGGGCAGGAGAAGAGGAGGAACCAGGAGGGAAGGCGGGGATGCATAAAGGAGACAGGCACACTCACTCATGTCAAAGAGGTCCCGGGGTGCACTGCCATTGATGGCAGGATTGGGGGGCCCACCCCCACCCCCTGCTTGCCGGACCTTGTCTAGGTTCTGGACATTGACGTAGGAGGGATCATCAAAGAGCTCCCGGGCTGCTGAGGAAAAGGAGACTTTACAGTGATCCAGGCCCTGCCTCCTGCACCTCGGCCTCTGCCCATCTCAGCTCCCTTCATACCTGGGCAAGGTGGTGGAGGTGGCATCTGTTTGCGGACTTCTGGGTCTCCCACCGCAGGCTGCCCCACAGGCTGCCAGGACAAAAATAAGGTGAACCCAGAAGCTCTAACCAGACACTCCCGTCCTGGGCCCAGCCCACCTCCATCCAAGCAGCTTACCAACGTAGCCCCCAGGTGGCTGGGGGTCTGGGCACCGGGCGGAGTGGGTCGAGCAGCCCCTGGGGTGGCTCCTTCCCGAAGCCTCATGTCCACCACCCCGCCAAGAGGGGGTTCCTTCCCGGGGAAGTCATTATAGTACTGATGGTCAGGCGGTTCTTCCTCCTCCTCGTCCCAAGCCGAGCCATCAAAGCCAGCCATCCTGAGACGAGCAGGAGAGAGGGAGGGTGTGAATGCGTGGTGGGGCGGACGACGGAGGGGATGTGCTGGGCACTTACTGCAGACTAGGCCTGAGGCTGGCTGGTTTATATACATATGCATTTCCTCCTCCTGACAACCCTGTAAGGTAGGTATTATTTCCTTCCCCAATTTTATAGATGAGGAAAATGTGAGAGAGGGAGAAAGATCTGCCCAAGGTCATCCAACTGAAAGGTGGTGAAGCTTGAGATTTAAAGCTGTCTTCCTAGGCAGGGAAGGGAACCTCTGAGGCAGGGAGGGGAATCACAGGATCTTTTAACCTCCTCGAAATACTCAATACCTACTGGCCCCACTGTTTATCCTTCAAGGCCTGAGTTGAAAAAGGGATCTCAAGAAAAGGATAGCCTCCCTGATCCAGATTCTCCTAGGGGCAGGAAAAGGCAGAACGCAGGACAGAGAAATGGGCAAGAAAGAGGGCCAGGCCAGAAGTGAAGAGGCTGGGCCTAGAAGAGCCCATCTAGCCAGGGGCGGAGATACAGGCTGGAGGCCCGGGAATACAGCTCCATCGGGGGCAAATGAGGAAGAGCTGGCCCTGCAGCAGGCAGGGCCTCAAAAGCCTTTCCTGATGGGCCACAGGAAACTTCGGAATAGCGGGAAGCTGGGGCACACGGGTTATTTCCTTCCCCTACTTTCCCAGTGAGGCTCTGGGGCCCAGAGCTGCCCCACCCCTCCAAGCCCGCTCACCGGTCGTGGGGAGTGACTAGCTTGGGTGGGTTCCTGAGGTACTGTTTGAAGCGCAACTCAAAGGCCTGGCCAATGGTGCTGATGACATCCTGGGCAAGCCCTTCAGGACACTCCAAGATGTGGCAGGCTGGGGGTACAGCAGAGGCTGTCAGTGAGCTCTGGGCAGGGGTGGGGAGCTGCCGGAGGAGGCGCGGACAGGGGCTCCCATCTTCCCCAGCAGCAGCCCCTGCTTATCTCTACTCCAAGCAGGGAAAGAAGACCCCAGTCCTGCTCACCTCCCTCATGGACAGCGGGCCCCACCCAGTGCTCCCCACCACGCCTCACCTCTCTGATTCACGGGGTCTTTGGCAACGTAGGCGACATATTCAGCTGTGTCCTGGGGTGGACAGAATCGGAAGAGGCCAGTTAGCTAAATTCTACACCCCCACCTCACTCCTGACCACTTTTCAGATATGCCCTCGGTACTATCATCCCGACTTCTCCAGCCGGTGTCTCCCAATCCCTTACTCTCCTCCCACAACCTCTGCTCTCTGCCCAACTCACCGGGTCCCCGCCGGACGCAAACGAGATGGACTGCATATGATGGTTGGCGATGATCTGAGGTGTAGGGCAGGGGATGGTGAAGGAAGGGATGACGTGTCAGACGGCCTCACCCCCAACCCTGGCCCACCTACCCTCCTGGCTTCTTACCCCATGTCCTCGATTTCCTCATCCCTACTGCCCTGCTGCCCTCTCTCCTAGCTTTCTGCCTTCATAACCAGATCCCCCTTAGCCTTCCCATCAGTGCTTCTGGTCCCCCTGCCTCACCCCACCAACCTGTTTGCAGTCAGCTGCCATGAGGTTGAGGCTGCTGGTGGAGACTGTGAGAGTGATTGGCATTCCAGCAAATTTCAGGTTACTCCTCCCCAGGATGGAGCTGAGCGGGCGGCTACAGGGCTAGGGAAGGGCCCGGGGCGTTCAGAAGCTGAGGGTTCCCAACAGCAGGAACCCACACTTCTGCCTTTTGGCCTTCGCCCCACATACCCACCTGCCTTCCTCCTGCCCGTCCACATCTCACAGCAGCATCCCTAGCCCCATCAGCCCCAGGTACCTTTCTCCTCCTTGGTGCCCCCTTAGCACCTGGCACAGCCTCACACACCAGACTGATGGCCTCCCTGGGGAAAGAGGGGTGCTCAGACCCAGAGCCTGTCTCCCACTCAGCTGGGGCTGCCGCAGGGCTGGGGGAGGGGAAGGCCAGGCCAGACGCCCTGGGCGCTCCAGGCTCTTTGTTGTGGCAGATTGAATTAAGGGCCTTTAATATTTGATGACACTGAGGGGCCGCTTCCTGGCTGATTGGGTTAGGGCCTCAATGGGCATGGCCCCACCCCCTTCCGGCCACTAAACATCCCCGTCCCTTCCCAAAGGCAGCAGCAACTTTCACTCTACCCCCATTTTCCACTCAAGCTCCACCTGCCAGCTGCCTCTGCCACCTCCCATACAACTCCCCAGGCTGGACAGGTAAGGAGGATGAGGGCCACAGTTCCCCTTCTCATTCAGACTCAGACTTGCTCCCTTCTCTCAATCCCCTTTACCACCCAAAGTAAGCTGCCTCTGGCACCTCAACCATGTGATCCACTCCCTCCTCCCCTTTCCCGGGGCTCCCACGATCCACCCCCACCCCCACTGACCTGGTGACCTGAGTCCGGGTGTTGAAGTCCAGGGCACGCATGGACTGCAGGACCTCCACACAGCCCATGTACTGAGGGGAAGGGGGGGGCGGTAACAGGTCAGCCACCTCCTGTCGACCCCTTCACAAAAGGCCCTAGGACTTCACAAAGGGCCCTAGGACTTCGCCTCCCTACATAGTCCCTGAGGGAAGGAAAGATGTGCGGGTTCCACCCACACTGACTACATCCCACAACGCCACAAGACAACAGGGAGTGAGGACAGAAAGGGAAGCTGGGTGGACCTCGGGCATCTGGGAAGAGAATTTGGGGGGAAGTAACAGGCATTGGGTGGGGTGGAGACGATCTAGTGACATCTCCAGAAAGAGGGAGGAGACTGGAGGAGAGAATCAAGAAGTCACTCATTCCAACACTTCTTAAGGGCCTACCGTGTGCTGGGCATTGTGCTAGGCATGGCAGGATGGGGGTAGGGGAGTCAGAAGAAGGAAGGGGGCCCAGGCAGAGCTGGAAGGGAAGGGGCTGCAGAATCAGAGAAAGGCAAAGAATTTAAGAAAGGAAATGGAACACAGGAACACAGCCCTCAAGGAGGGGGCTGTTGGGGAAGAGCAGGAAAAGAGACTGCAGCAAAGCTGGAGTGAGCAGAGGAAACAGAAGGGGGTCTGGGAAGGAGTGGAAGGGAGGACGTTCACTCACCCGCACCAAGTAGGAAACCCCGGGTCCCATGACTTTCTCGTTGGGATGCAGCCAGCCCCGCGTGGGCTTATTGACAAAGCTCCCGTGGCGGGTCCACTCCTCGCCCCCCAGCTGGCCCCCTTCCACCCGAGTCCTGCGCCCGCCGCCTCCACTCAGCTTGTTCATGTCCTGGAGGAGGTGCAGGGGGCCTGAGTCCAGCACGGCTGCCCCTGCGATCCCCTCCCCATCCTCGGCTGTCCTTCCTGGCTCCCCCCTCAGCCCCGGGCGCCCCCCAGCTGGGTTGGCGAGCTTCAGGTTGCTCATCCGGGGGAAGAAGGAGCACAGGGTAGTGGGACTGTCGTCCCCAGGCAGAGGTGGCAGGATGGGCCCCAGGGATGAGGCTGATGGGGAAGGCAGCTCCTCCGGGGGGGTGGACCCTGAAGCCCCCTCCTCCAGCGATGACAAAGACTCATTCCGAAGTGGGTTGTACTTGGGCTTGGGGGGAAGGAGATCCATGGCTGGGGTGAGACGGGTGCTGCTACCCGGCCCGGCCCCCCTGCCAGTCAGGGCAAGGGGGCCAGGCAGGGGGCATCCCCAGGCCCTTAGCCTGGTCGGACCTCTGTAGCCCAGGGGTCTCAGGAGTCCTGGGGAGGGAGAGGGACCGGTGGCTTCAGCTCCCCCATCTCAGCCCCGGACAGTCTCAGGGCCCATCCCCGCCCAGCCCCAGCGTGGAGCCTCTTCTCTGGTGAGAGGAGAACAGGCTGGACCCAGAGCTGCCTAGCTCCTCCCCAGGGGCGGAGAGCTGAGGGGAGAGACCAATCCCAAGGACAGTGCTGACTCACAGGCTCTGAGGGGCTGAGCCCCACTTGGCCCACCCAACCTAGAACACTTGCTGGGGTAGGGACAGCCACATCCCTCTTCCCTCACCTCCAAACAACCAACCAGAAGTCTGGGCAGGAGTAAGGTGGGGGTTGAAGGGAAGGATAGAAAGGAAGGAAGGAAAGGAGAGAAATAAGGGGAGGTCTGGATCAGTCCAAACCGGACATGGGCAGGCCAGGGGGAGCAGGAAGCCGGGGAGGGGAGAGGTGGGGGGGAGCAATGAGGGAGGAAACAGAGGCAGCCAGGGGTAGAAAAGGGAGGGGATCCCTGAGCTCAGCACTTTCTTTCCTGTCCTGGTTGAATACTCAAATCTCCCCATCTTCCAGCTCAGGCCATCTCCCCCTGCTACCACACAGTGGGGTAGTGGCCCAAGGGAGCCTGAGCCATTAGCATCCTCTGCCGCAACAGCTGTGGACTGGAGGCATCGAGATGGGGAAGGGAAGAAGTGGTCCCAGTGGAGGTAGAGAGGGGCCAAGAGGAAGGGCAAAGATGGTGAAGTAAAGGAGGATAAAGTCCAACGTGGGCGGTGCATCAGGGAGCCAGCAGGCGAGAGCTGGAGCAGGAGGACAAGCTGGCTGAGGCTTCTGCCCTACGCATGGCATCTACCTGGCATCTACCGTGTCAAAGAGCAGCCCCCCACAGCCAGGGACGTGCGGCCCCCTCTTGACAGGCATAGTCAGCAAACAAGCTGTCAAAGCTGACAAGTGGGATGGCCTGAGTACCAACTCTAAAGTCAGCTCCCTGGACCTGCCAGGTATACTCATACCCCTCGTGTTGCAGTGGTGACTGGGGGATGCCCAGGTGTCCACCATAGAGCAGTGTCCCTAACACCAGGGGAGGAGTCTGGCTAGCAGAGGCGGGAGAGTGGGACAGTTCTGCAACAGAAGTGGGGGCTACAGGCCACCAAGGGATCGACAGGACAGAAGACAAACCTATGTTACTAAATACAGGAGAAGGGAGAAGATGGGCTGAAGCTGGACACAGGGAACAATCCCAAACCCACGCTTTCTACCCACAGCTTCCTGTCACAGCTGTAATTGAGGGGGCCACAGAGGAAGTTAGAAAGCAGCCAAAAACAAGAAGTAAAAGATAAACATACCCCCCGGATCACATCGGAATTACCCTATCCTTCAATTTACTTCAGAAGATAAAAAGAAGCGAATAACCATATGATCATAGCGATAACACTAGGACTTAAAACGTCTTATATATTGTGCTGAACACTTTAACCTCCTCTTGATCTTGATCCCTGGAGAGCTTGTCACTTCATCCACCATTCCTGAAATGGAATTCTATCCCTCCATCTCCTAAGGCTTCAGCTCGCAGGCACAAAGAGAATGCGGAAAGGACTCTGCCACAGCCTCACACCCCCAAAAAGCATGTCAGCACACACCAGGGTATCCTAATCTTTAGAGATCGCTGTTCTGCGGAGTCTGCAGTATCCACAGGCAGGGAGTGACCAACAGGTACGGGCAGTTGGAAAAAAAGAAAGAGGAAGTTTAATTCTAAGTTTTGATAGGGAGAGAGGAGACTGCCTACTGGGAGTCCCGGTGATTGGGTGTGGGGGAGAAGCTGTGCCTGGCTTCTCAGGCCAGCAGGGAGGAGGCGAGAGGGGCGGCAAGTAGCAGGAAATGGCGAAAGCCTCAGGAATGTTTCCAGCAGGGAAGACTGGGCAAGCGGGGCCAGGAGGAATGCCCAGACAAGAACTCCGGTTAGGGGGAGGGGAAGAGTCGAGAAGTAGTGGGGACTGAGGACTCCCTTAAAAAGATCAAACAGCAAAAAAGGCCGCTGCTCCCCACCCTACTCCAAACCACCATTCAGTCTGGTCATAGAAAACTCTAGCTCCTATCACACGCACATGCCACACACTAACGAATCCATGGCCCTACCCAATTCCTGAGGTACAGGTACGACTTGCAGCTGTTTCTGGGGTGGAGTCGGTCCTGGGAAGTGGGCTGGTAGTGGGAGGGAATGGGGCTGAGAATCTATGAGCAAGTCTTTCTACCACTGTCTTGCCAAACCCCAAGTCCAGCCCACTCCAAGCCGGTCCACTCTAGAAGTGGGGGGTAAGAGAAAGGAAAGGGGTGCCTCTATTCTCTCGCTCCTCAAGGCCAGTCATGGGAACTTTGCCTTCCCATCCAGTGGAGCATGAGAGCTGAGGAGAACTGAGTCCAACACCGAAGAAACGACAGGGAAGTGTAAGAAGGTGGGACTTCTGGAATTGAAGACAAAGCTTCAGAGGTGATGACCTGAGCCCCACAGGGATAAAGCCCCGGGGGGGCGTGGCCCCTAGCACGCGTGCATCAGAGACTTCTAGGAGAGGCTTCAGGACAATCAGACGTAGATTAAGAAAAGGCGGGGCTTGCAGAGGGGCGGGGCTCCTACAGAAGCGTGGCTTCAACGAGTTCTCGAATAGATTTTGAGTCGCAAAGCTTGGCCCTTTTAGGAGATAGGCTTTTTGATAGAAGTTAGCGGAGAATCGTCGCGGGGAGGCGGGGCTTCGGTGACGTGGAAGCATTAACGAAGGGTTTCTCGTAGTAGAGTTTGGAAGCATGTCTGGGGGTGGGACTTCCAGGAAAGCTGGGATACTGGGTGACGTCAGGGACAATAAATTAAAAAACAAGTCGGGGTTCGGGGAGCCCCCTGGAACTGGGAGGTGGGACTTCCGGGGAGGGGGTCGCAGGGGGCGGGGCTTAACAATGAAGACCGGAAGTGGGGTCCCGGGAGAGGGGTGCCGGGGTGGAGATATGGATCGCCTGAGGAGAAAAAAAAAGTCAAGACTCACCAGGGCTGCATGGAGTCTCCGCACCGCACCGCGGGCCTATATGGTTCCGAATTACGCCACTGCCTCCTTAGGTTGCCGCTCCAACTTTCTCCCCGGACCCGGCCTCCCTAGAGAAACTTTATTGCACTCACTTCCGGCCTCACTAACCCCTGACCCTCTACCTCACCGTCCCTCCTTCACCCTGCCCACTTTCTCGAATCAGCCAATGGCAGCGCGAGAACGCGCACAGGAGCAGTGATAGCCAATAAGAGTCCTATTTTTGACACAAGCTCGCTCTCGAGAAACGTAAGACCTACCCTCCAATAAGGACCCTAGGAGTAGTAAATCTAAGCCAATCGGAGGCTTGAAGGTAGAGCGGTCCCGCCTTGAACAAAAGGGACCAATAAGAAGTGCGGGCGGTGTGTTTGAAAGCGAGGCCAAAGAGGGTGGGAGCGCGTGCTGCTGGGAGTTGTTTGGAGGTTGGCGGTGCTGGTCTGAAGTCCTTCAGGCAGAGCAATCATGTCGCACAAACAGATTTACTATTCGGACAAATACGACGACGAGGAGTTCGAGTACCGGTTAGTGCCAGCGCGGGGGCCATAACGAGGTTGTGAGCCTTGACAAGCGAGGGCACGAGGAGTTAGTGAGGACTGAGGCGACAGAATCGGCGCATGCGCGAGAGATTAACGGGATGGGTTTGAGCTAGGTGAGGCGTAAAGGGCATGCGCGAATGGTGGGAAGCGCTCTGAAAAAGACAATAAATTGGTTGAAAATTTTGGAATAAACCCTCTGTTGAGCGTAGGTGGGCGTGGTGAGAGTGCTGACCGCCTTCACCCTTGCGAGTTTCTGAATCTTTCTCGCAGCTATAGGCAAACTGAACTTGCCTTCTTGCGATTAGTATCACAAGAATACCATAGGACCCTAGAGCCTACTGGGAAAAGGTGGCAAAGACGGAGCTGAAATTTTCCTCGTGTCCTCAATGCGAGGGGAGGCTCGAGTGCTGTGGGCGTGGCTGTCCAGCTTATTTTAGGAAGGGGGCTGCTAGGAAAAAAACTGGCCGTGAACATTGAGAAAAGACTTAAGATGGATCTAATAGATGGCTTCAAATATTTGAAGGGCATTCTATTCATGAATCAATTGTGGAGTGCTTATAGGTTTCAGGTGTTCTGCCAAAATGCAAGGATAAGACAACGGTCTCTGCTTTCAACGAATTTAAAGCCTGTGGAAGATACTAACAGACTCCAGAAAGGTGATAAATGGTATCATAGAGATGTTACAGGGTGTGATGGGAGCACAGAAAACCTGCTAAGGAAGGAGAAAAATCTGGGAAAGCTTCCTGGAGGAAACTGCCCGAGATGAGGTTCAAGGAAGGAAGGAGGATGGAGAAAACCCTGACTGAAATTGTTTAAAAAATACTGGATAGCCATCTACCAAGGATGGAGAAAAAGGACTCCCTGAACTGGATACAAAGTTTGCATTTGATAAATTCTGAGTCCGTAATTCTAGATTGGAAATTGAGGGAAGGCAGAGGATTCTACAACTGTTGACATTCTCCTAATCTTTATTAATTGTAATACTTAAGATAACTTCCTAGTTTGCATCTTGTCTCTACAATTGGAGAACATAAAATGGGAACTTAAGACTTTTCTTCTATCTCTATGCCTAGCCTAGTGAAGGCCACTGGGAGCTTTCAAGTGTGTTGATAGATAAAAAAAGACACTTCTTCATGCCAGGTCCTTGGAAAAAGACCCCAGGCCCTTCCTGGACTCAATTAACTTTCTTTTTCTCAGCTGTTTTTCCTCTACATCTGAACTAAACTAAAGCTATATGCTTACAACATCTTTGCAGGGTTAGGGAGGAGTCACTCGTTTATACCCTGGAAGATGTAACGGTTAGCTTGGCAGTGGAGTTTTGGTTGAAGAGGTTATTTGTGTGTTTGTTTTTCCTTATGCACTGAAGCTGAACTTTGTGCCAGGAGCTTGTTAGAATGTAAGCTGTTTTCAGACCTTTAGACTAGAATTCTCCCTGGAGAAAACCTCTGTTAACTAACCAAGAGGGAGCGTTTAGTACATTGGCATTGAGCATGAAGTCTGTCCAGGTTAGCCCAATTCAAAATCAGAGTAATTTTTTTGCCATGAAGAGAGCTTTATCCTTGTGAGGAAACCATGGAGTTTCCCAAAAGAAGTGTCACGGCACATCCCTTCAGAGTTAGGAAATGAGATTTGGGTTAGATTTTAAAGAATTAAGACATTGCCGTTTCATCCTTGTGATGGCCCTTCCACCCAGCGATCCATATCGGCCTTTCCACAAAATCACTTCACTGCCTTACCAATCCTGTTCAAAACTCACCTCAGTTATTAACTATATGTACACTATGGGGCTCCCATTGTATTATGGGTAATCAACTAGAAAATTCAAAGCTCCGTGACAGTGTATCAACAGTGCCTAGACCTTAGGTGCTCACTCATTTGAATTATTAATTTGTACTTTTTAGTGTACTTTCGTGAGGATTTACATAATTTGGTCTGTATTTATAGCTGCCTCTACCCCACAATAGGAGCCTTAGTGGCGCATTGGTTAAGAGCCTGGCTGCTAACCAAAAGGTCAGCAGTTCCAGTCCACTAGCTGCTCCTTGGAAACCCTATGCAGCAGTTCTCCTCTGTCCTGTAGGGTCGCTATGAGTCGGAATTGACTCGACGGCAGCTGGTTTAACCCCACAATAGGATTGTATAAACTCCCTGACGTCAAAAACTGGTTTTTCTTTCCTTTCTCGGCCTTGTATGGTGTTTTATCTGACAGATTGTGCCCAGTACTGACAGTCCCCGCCTCCCTTTGTTTCTGTTACAGGCACGTCATGTTACCCAAGGATATAGCCAAGCTGGTCCCTAAAACCCATTTGATGTCCGAATCCGAGTGGAGGAATCTTGGTGTTCAGCAGAGTCAGGGATGGGTCCATTATATGATCCATGAACCAGGTTAGTGGTGTGGTGTGGCTGAAAGCAACCCTACAGGACTGCTACCCGGAGGGAATGAAGGAATAAGACTGTATAACCCAGAGGAGGGGTGGCAGGAGGAATGATTTACTGACTCTTTTTCCCACCAGCCATCTAGAAAAACTGGAGTGACCAAAATTAAAAATAAGAGTGAAGGATCTGGGGAGTTTAGAGCCAGTCTGTCACTGAAAACCCCCGTTTAATCTTTAACTCAGCCAGAGGGTACTTTTTTTAAGGCCAAGTATATCCTGGTAGAGGTCGTAGCCCCTGCTTCATTCTCCATCAGAAAGCCAGTTCTTGGATGTGTTCCAGATAAGCCAAGGAAAGTATATTTCTTGATAAGATGCCAGACACCCGGCTGCCAGGCAAAACTAATAAAGGACACCCCAGGGCTGTACAAACATAGTAAAAGAACTGATATTAACAATTTGGTACTTGGCAGACAGGCCAGACTTCTGGGTCTGCTTCTAAGGCCATATGCTTAAATCTTAATTTAGTTATAAAGATCTGAGTGGGTGATCGCTGGGAGGTTGGAGTGAGATGGGATGGGATAAACCACAGCCTGTGCATAGAATGGTGTGAGCTCGTCTCAGATTTCACTCACTCTTTCAGAACCTCACATCCTGTTGTTCCGGCGGCCACTACCCAAGAAGCCAAAGAAATGAAGCTAGCGGGCCACTTTTCTGCCTCGAGCTGTTCACAGCTGTCCTTACTTCCTACCATCTTTCTGATAATAACGTTGCTTTCTTGTTTCTCACTTTGATATTTAAAGGATGTTCAATACACTGTTTGAATGTGCTGGTGACTGCTTTGCTTCTTGAGCAGAGCCACCCCCGCCCAGCCACATGAGTGCTCCGTGGGCCACAGTCTCAGCTGCGTCTGACCCCGGAAGCCATGGTGAGCTCTGTATCCAGCAGAACACACCTGGCAGATGGAGCAGGCATCTGAGAATCGGGCCACGGGGCTCAGTTACAGGGATTGTGTAAACTTGCTGTTTTTGTTTTTTTTTTTTCCTGCCGGGTATTGTATGTATGGTGGTTGTGGATTTATGTTTCAATGTATTGGAAACTTTCCATTTTATTCAAGAAATCTGTTCCATGTTAAAACCCTTGATTAAAGAGGAAGTTTTTATAATCTAGTTCTCTAATTCTAAGTCATTCCCCACCC